AAAAGCAACGGAAAACCAGCAGCAACAAGCGGCGGAAAATCTGTGGCAACAGGCAGAAAATCTGTGGCAACAAGCAGAAAACATTGAGAGAGATGCAGATTTAAATATGGAATCGGATGTCGAATCTCGAAATCAACATAAACAAGAAACACAAAACTCCAATAACCAGCAGCAGCAACCAGAAAACATGGAAAACCAAGCAGCGGAACACCAGCGGCAACAGGCAACGGAACATCGGTGGCAACAGGCAGCGGAAAATCTGTGGCAACAAGTGGAAAACATTGAGAGAGATACAGAAAACCAGTGTCAAGCAAAAAATGCCGACGGACAATGGAAGCGACAAAATTTTATTGAGCAACAAGCAGAAGAAATCAGTAATTTAGGGAGTACTAGTACACACCTCAATAACTCCCGTCATACTTCGGTTACAATTTCAAGCGATGAAGTAATTTTTTTTATTATTTTTGTGGTTTGTTATAGAAACTCGATATTCATTTTTTTTTAAAGTATAATAGTGATGAATGCAATGCATTACACGACATTACTAATTTACCCACCGATCACTGTGAAGTATATCAAGTTGCTCGCGATCGATATACAAAAAACGCCAAAGCAATGCGAGAAAAAATGCTGCGCAAAAATTCAAAACGAAAAATATCGTATGAGATCGGAGAGTTTGTGCGAATTGGAATTCCGAAGATTGATCGTTCAAGTACCGATAGAAAGCTTCTCATATGCAAAGTGGTCGGAATCGTCGATGGTGGATTCTATAGATTAGGGTGTAAGTCGGGAATATTAAATGTCTGTTATCGTGCAGTAGAATTGATGCCTACGAAGGCTATGGATTTTCCAGAATTGCGAGAAATACCAAATACTTTAATTTCTTTGCGTGAAGCATCATTGCGCCAAAGCCGAGGGGAAATAACGGGTTATCAATGTAATTGTAAGGGAAGTTGTAGGACTAATCATTGTAATTGTAAGAAAGCTGGAGTCTTGTGTGGGGCATGGTGTCATGGCGGTGGTAGCAATACTTGTGAAAATCAAAATGAATAGATGTTAATAAAATTTTAGGTTTTTGGTTGAATAACAGAAATAGTACTTTCCAAATCTTCTTGGACTTGTTTAACTTCCCTGAAATCCAATCTCTGCAAAGTTTATCAGATTTTAGAATTATGCCTAAACGAGCCCTCGACCCCCAAGAATCTCCCAGATCGAAGAAAATCAAGTGCGAGCTGAAATGTCATTAGATCAACATGTTCCAAGATGAAAATTACAAACTACAGTAGAAA